CTCCGCTGCGGGGGCCGCCCCCGCCCGGCCCGGCCCGTGCACCCCGGCGCCGCGCCCCGGGAGGGCGCCGAGCGCGGCCACCACCGCTGAGCCCCGGCCGTGCCGCCCCCGACCCCAGGCTCGGACCTCGGCCTCCGGGGGCGCGGGGGCCGGCGGGGGAGCTGTCGGCATCCTTCGCCCTCCTGGCGGCGGCGGCGGCAGCAGGAGCCTCAGCCGCCGCCCCCCGCGCGGCCCCGGGACCGGGAACCCGTCGCGCCCCCGACCCGTGGGGCGGAGCTCCGCGCTCCTGCCCGCGGCCCGGATGGGGGCACTGGCTGGGACTTGGGGCTCCTGGAGTTAATGTCCCGCCGGGGGTCTGCGGAGACCGGAGCCGAGGTGAGTGGCGGCGCGGGCCCGGGCTGGAGGGGGCGGGCGGTGCCTGGAGTCGCCGGCGGGCACGGCGGGCAGCGGGCGCCGGAGGCGGGAGGGAGGGCGCGCGGCTGGACCCGGGGCAGCGGCGGGATCGGGCAGGGGAGAGACTAGAGGGAACCAGGGCGACCAGGAGGGAGAGCAGTTGGACGCGGGAGAGGCCGGCTTTGCGGAGGGAAAAGTTGCCCTCCCACGTGAGCGGAGATGTGGTGCCCCGTGCACCCCGGAATGTTCGAGGGGGGCGCTCTGCTGTCCAGCGCGCGGCTGGGGGTCATCTCCGGACCCACTGCGATGGGAGAGAGTCCCCCGGGGACGGGCGTCTGGGAGGGAAACTTCCTGGTGACCTGGTCCCGTCCGTTTCGAGGGCCCCGCCAAGGCGCTGGGGACCTCACATCAGAGCGTTCCCCTCCTCCGGGCGCGGCGGGCTTACAGCCCTCGCCCTTTTCCGAACCCCATGGCCGGAACGATGCCAAAGCCTGCAACCCCAACTACCCGTCTCGTCCAGGTTAGGAGAGGGCCTCCCTGGCCAGGTCAGACGCGGACCTCCACCTCCAACACACACTGGGTCCTCCCCAAGGTCTCATTTTACTGTTCTCTTTTCTCCTGTGCCCTGTGCCACTTCCCCATACCACCACCACCCCCTGCACCCCCTCCACCACCACCTCCACCACCACCACCACCCCCTCCACCCCCTCCATCACCACCGCCACCACCATCACCATCACCTCCACCCCCTCTACCACCTCCACCACCTCCACCACCACCACCACCCCCTCCACCCCCTCCATCACCACCGCCACCACCATCACCATCACCACCACCCCCTCCAGTCCCTCCACCCCCTCCACTCCCTCCATCACCACCGCCACCACCATCACCATCACCACCACCCCCTCCACTCCCTCCACCACCTCCATCACCTCCACCACCACCGCCACCACCTCCACCATCACCGCCACCACCACCTCCACCTCCACCACCACCACCGCCACCACCATCCCTTCCACCACCTCCACCACCACCACCACCCCCTCCACCACCACCGCCGCCACCCCCTCCACCACCACCTCCACCACCACCACCGCCACCACCATCCCTTCCACCACCTCCACCACCGCCACCCCCTCCACCACCACCTCCACCACCACCACCGCCACCACCATCCCTTCCACCACCTCCACCACCGCCACCCCCTCCACCATCACCATCACCCCCTCCACCACCGCCACCACCACCGCCACCACCGCCGCCACCTTGCCTCCCCTGGGGCAGCCTTCCTCGCGGTTTGGTTCCCACCCGGTGAACACGGGCCCTCCTCACGGCAGGGAAGGTTCTTTGGCTGGGCCACCCTACCATCCACCCCACCCACCCGCCTTCGGCGCCCCCGGTTTGGGAAACCCGCCCGCAGAGCGGCGCGCCCCGGGGGGAGGGCTGCCCACCCCGCGCACCCCGCGCTCCGCTCATTGGCCGGGCGCTCTCCGGGGTGTCCGCGCCCCGCTCCTCGGGTTTGAATCTGCGCTCCCAGTGCCCCGGAGAGGGTTCCGCTTCCAGACCCCTCACCGAGCTCCTCCCCAAAGCCTTCGCTCTGGAGGGGAGGGAGGGACAGAGTCGCCTTTTCAACAAGTGCTTGGTGTCCGGGAGGCCCGCAGCGTCCTCGCCCCCCACTCTCGCAAGGGGTTCAGGTGACCCCGAACCTGAAACCCGGCCTTTTAGCAGAAAGACCCCTCTCCAGACTGTCTCCGGAAAGCGCCCCTCATGCTTTCCCCTCCCCCGGTCTGGGGTCCCAGCGCGGGGAGAGTGAGACCTCTGGCGGGGAGGGGGGGGGAGGGGGGGCGAGGCACAGGGAAGTAAAGCAGTCCATTCCAGCATCTTCGGTCCTTACCCCAAAGGCAAACCCCGCGCCACCCCCTCTTCTCTCCCTGAGACCTGGGTCCTGAGGGCAAAGCCCAAAGGGGCCTCCCGGCCTGCCGGACGCAGGAAGGCGCGGAGGCTCTGGCGGCGGAGCTGTCACCCGACGCCGGGAATCTGGGGGGAGGATTCTCACTGTAGGTTTCGGGGGAAAACAGCCCCGGTGCGGCGAACAGAGAAACACGAGGGAGAGAGGATGGAGAGGCGGGGGCCCGGAAAGCGGGGGTGCTGGCGAGGACACTAAAGTTCCGGGGAGTCGCATGGATTTGGGGGCGGCTGGGAGGGGAGCGCTCGTTCACGGGCCGGTGTCCTGTGAAAGTGTCAGTGCGGCCTCCCCTCCCGCGGGCCGCGGCGGCGCCTGGCGCCCCCTGGCGCCGGGAACTCAGCAGCGCCCGGGCGAGCGGCTGCCTCTGCGGCCCCGCAGCTCCGGGGCGGGAAGGAAGGACCACCCGGGCCCTGCGGGGACGGCCTGCGGGGAGCGGCCTGCGGGGCACACGGAGGGGTGCGGAGGCACCGGCGGGCCGGCTCGGAGGGAGCTTGGGGCGCGCGTGGCGGCTGGCTCAGCAGGAGGAAAGGGCGCGGGGAAGGGCGGCAGGAAGGCGTCGGGCAGATGTGCTTTGAGAAAGCGATCCGGACCTGCAGGGACGGCGGGGCAGGCGGGGCGGGGGCCCAAGGGCGCAGGGAATGCCTCCCTGGAGGCCGCTGCGGGTGCCCGGGCCCCAGACCCCCTCCCCCTCCGGGAGCTGGAGAGCTGGCCCCCGCGGCGCTCCGAGGGGGATCCGCCCTCCCTGGCCGGCTGGCCGGACCGCTCTTTGGGGGCCTGCGCCGCACCGGCCGCGGGCGGAGTCTCCTCCCGGCGCCTCTCTGCCGGCCTCGCCAGGCTTCTCGCTGGGGAGCTCCACATCCCATGTCAAAAGCGCTCCGTCGGCCGAGCCGGGGACAAGGAGAGCCCCTGTTCCTGCGGAAGAGACTCTGGTGCCTCTTTGGCTTCCGATGGCGCGTTAGCCCCGCGCCTGCCCGCTCCTCGGGGCCGCCGGCCACCTGGCACGCACCGGGGAGCTGGTCCCGGGGGAGGGGCCGAACGCCTGGCGCCCCCGGTCCCCGCGCCCCCGGTCCCCGCGCCTCCAGTCCTGGCGCCCGGCCTGGGTCGGGGCCGCGGGCCGGCGCGCCTCGCCTTCTCCCCGGCGCCGGGGCTGCAGGTGGTCCGAGTCCCCAGTCCCCGCCGCCCCCGGAGCCCACAGCTGGTGGCGACCAGCCGCCGCCCTGGGAGGGGATGCACCGTCTCCGCGGCGGGAGGGGGCTGCTGAGTTAGGCGCCGCCGGGGCGGCCGCAGGGACCCCCGTCGGGGGCGCTGGGCGGCGGCGGCGGAGGCGGGATCCCGGAACTCAGGGAGGACAGGCTCGCAGGGCCTGGCACCACCTGGAAACCGCCTTGCTCTCCCCCGTGGGAGAATTTCGGGGGTTTTCCTAGAACCCGTTTTATCTGGAGGAGAGGGGATAATCGACTTGAGAATTCCCTTAGGAACTGGAACGCTGGCCTTGGGGAGGTTCTGGGTAACACGCACCCCGGGGTGCCGGCGTCCCTCCCCACCTCCTGATTGGGTGGAGTTTGGCCCCGAGTGTCTGACCAAGCCTTTTCCTGGCCCGTCCCCGTGGCGTGGCCCTCCTCTCTGGGGTGGTGGGGCCCCCCTCTCTGGGGTGGCGGGGCCCTCCTCTCTGGGGGGTGAGGGCCGTGAAGGAGTCCCCCACTCATGGGCGGCCTAGGCCTTCCGAGGCCGGTGCATCCCCCCCCCCCCCCGCCACCACCTGTCCCCCCCCACACACACACACACACACACACAGGCCAGGACTCGGGTACATGGTCCAGGAGTGACATGATGGAGCTCCAGGAGATTCATGCTCCCCTCTTCCCTCCCCCCCCCCCCCCCCCACGCTGCGGCCCGGGGCGCGCCCGCTCCGTGCTCCTGGGGCTCTTGCACACGTCTGTGAACGCGCATACCTTCCAGAGGGGGAACGAGCATTTTCACCGAGTGGACGCCTCGGGGAGTTATGTAACTTAAAACCGATAATCCCACCTCGGCCCACCGCCTCCCGGTCCCTGCTGACTCCCGGTTCCCACCGCCAAACAGGTGGGCTGGGGTGGGGGCGGCCCATGGGGTCCGCTCGGCTGGGCTCAGGATCCGGACCCGGGGCGCAGGGGCGCCGGCTTTTGTGCCAAAATACAGGATCTGGGCACTTGTTTGGGCCGAGAGCCGGTCTCCCCAAGGCTGTCTGGAGAGGTCTCCGGCTGGGGCGCACAACGCAGTGTGCGGACTTCCTGGTCGCCCCCAGAGAATGGGGGGGGGGGGCGGGGGCGACAAAAATAGGGACTGGCCGGGGGTCCTGGCGTCCTCGAGGTACCCGGGGTCTTGGAGCCGTCGTTTGGGGGCCGGTGGGGGCGGCCCTGGTCAATAAGACCCGGGGACAGGGTATTAGAGAGAGAGGCGGTTACATGTGGAACCCGAGAGAGGGTCGCTGGGGTCGCACCTGGACGGGGAGCGAGGAGGAGGGGCCCAGAGCGCGGGGGAGGGGGGCCCTCGGAGGGAGGGGGCCGCTGTGGGGCGCGCGGGGCTGCCGTGCCCAGGGCCCGGGCTAACCGCGCTCTCGGTTCTCCCGCGGGCAGGTGCCGCCGGCCGGGACTGCAGGATGAAGCTATGGGATGTGGTGGCTGTCTGCCTGGCGCTGCTGCACACCGCGTCCGCCCTCCCGCTGCCCGCCGGTAAGAGGCCTCCCGAGGCGCCCGCCGAAGACCGCTCCCCCGGCCGCCGCGCGCCCTTCGCGCTGAGCAGTGACTGTAAGAACCGTTCCCTCCCCGCGGGGGCCCAGGCGGACCCCCCACTACCCCCCCCCCCACCGCCCGCACCCGACCCGGCCAGCCCAGCGCAGGCGCTTCAGGCCGCTGCCCAGAGGCCAGCCTAGGCTGTGGGGGACACGTGCCGGTTTGCCCAGGACAGAGGGTGTCACCTTGTAGGCTGTGCGTTTGGCTTTCAGATGGACAGACATCTTCTAGGCCATGGCCACCAGCCACAGAACACACAGCCCTCTCCTCTCCGTCTCTCTCTCTCCCTCTCTCCCTCTCTCCCTCTCTCCCTCTCTCCCTCTCTCCTCTCTCTCTCTCTCTCTCTCTCTCTCTCTCTCTCTCACACACACACACACACACACACACACACACACACACACACGTACATTTTGTTTTGTTTGTCCTTTCTTCCAAACCTTTTGCCTGAAAGCAATTGCATCTCCCTCCTAAACTGTCCTCGCAAGGGAAGAGGCTGGGGTTTCACTAGTCAAACCAGCATCAGAGGAAGCCCGGGAGGGACAGGATTGCCAGAGCAAGAGCTGGGCAGTGTCAGGTCTGCTGGGACAAGGGCCTGCACTAGAAACACAGGGTAACCGGCTGGCCGGGACTGGGGGCGTGCTGCCGTCCACCCCACACATGGCAATGTTCACTCCTAAGACGAGAAACCAGGCTGTGCAGGTTAGAAGGCCCATCCGGGAAGGCGCCTCTCCCGGGTGTTTTAGCGGGCTCTTCCTTAGGCGTCCGCTGTGGTTTCCTTCACCCTCCGCTCTTCAGAAGCGTGTCTGCTGCCCGAAGCCAGGCATGCTGCATTACAGGTTAGAGGTCATGAGGGGGGAGGGAGGATGTAGGTAAGGAAGGCATAACATTTGATACAATCCCCAAAGAAAGCAATAGTGAGCTCTAGCCAGGAAGTCACCCTGGCTACTCCCCCTCCCGTGATTCCCACCTCCCCTCACCCCCCCCCTACCCCGGCCCAGCTAGTTTGCACTTGAAATATTCTGTGGTCACAGGCACAGTACAAGTGGCCCCACAAGTCAGCTGTGTGGCAAGAGTCCCCCAAACCCCTATTCTTGGGCTGAGAACAGCCTGGGAAATAGGGTGCCTTTATTATATGCTTCTTGACAACAATAAAAGCATCTTCTGCCAGCCGTCCCCCAAAAGTTCCTTTTTCAAGGCAAAGGAGGACTTCAAGAGTGACTTAGGTGAGAAAGAGGACATGCTGGACTCCTTGGAATTAACATATCTGCTCTCAGAGTTTCCGTCACTCGGTTGTACGGTAGAAACCTATTCTTAAAGGCTGTGGTCTCCAGCGCGCGTTTCCGTCTGCGTCTCTGTGAATGATTCTGCAATCCGACCTTCCATGTAAAATGCCCCTCAGGACCAGTGTCTCTCAGATAGCGCCGTGTGAGTGACGTGGCTTTTCATCCATTCGTATAGCTTAGGCCGGAGGCCCGGAGACCCCGTGGCAGACAATCGTTCTCTCACCAGGCTGTGCCGGAGGGGACAGTGGCTGCCAGGGGATGCAGCCCCTTGATTCCTGGAGCCCTCGGTAGCAAACCAGTGTCCCTTCCACCTGGGCTCAGTCAGTGCTGGCGCCTGGTTCTGGCTCTGCTTCCCACGGACTCTGTGACTTTGGACCCATCATTTACTTGCTTGGGAACTCAATAAACAATTTAAAACTGTACAGGAAAGGAAGGACTTTCTTCTCCCAAACGCCAGTGGCTGCGAGTCTTGCCCCTGGCCCTCCAGCCCCGGCCCTGTCCTTTGGGGAAAGTCTCCTAAGAGACCCCTGCTCATTGGAATCACCGGGGGAACGTGGATTGTTGGCATTGGGCCTCACCTGAGAGGTTCAGACTTAATGGGTCTGGGTGTGGCCTGGGCACCTGGAGGTTTGGTCTTCCCCGGGTGAGTCTGATGTGCAGTCAGGGTTAGAATCACTATGACCTGCTAAGACCCTACGGAAATCTGCCTCCAAGGTACCACCAATTACACAGCAAGGTAGCATTGTCCCTGCTGACCAGGGAGCAGGGGAAGCCTGTTAGGGACGGGAGAGATTCCTTCCCCTTTCCAAAACGGATGTTGAGTTGCAGTGGACAGGATTCTGACTCCTCCACTTACATCCGAACCAGCAGAGCCCACCCAGGGCTGCTGTCTCTGTGGGAAGACCCTGCAGATCTTAGAGGAAAGTTGCAGAGAAACAGGGCCACCTCCTAAGCCAGACGGACTTCTCTCCAGGTATGTCCAATCTGGTAGCAAGCTGTCAGCGCAGGGAAAGCGGATCCTGACAGTGTGCAGGCTCTGAGCACTCCACCATGTCAGCGGGGCCCTGTCCCGGCGCTGACATTTATATCCTGCACTGTACACCGGGCCGCTGGGTAAGGCTTGTGCAGAAAAACATTAAGTCACTTGTTCCATTTGAAACTATAAGGTGCCATAAATCCTGGCCGCTCTTCCTCTCACACGCAGTAACTTAGTGGCGGCTCTTTGACTCTGCCCCAGACATTCTGTGATGCTCAGAAGGGACTGGGCTATGCCCTGTCCATGTACTAGCCCCTGGCATTGCCTGTGTCCTGCTGGTCCCAGTGTCCGTGAAGCGGTTGGGATTCTGTTCCGAGGATGAACTGCCCAAGGAGAAGTGGTCAGTGGTTCCCTTGCTTCCCTAGAGGTTGGCTACAAAGCAAATGGGCTGTGGCCGCCCCCTTTAGCAACTTCCAACGTGTAGAAACCCACGGACTTGTGATTTTCCTTGTGGGGCATCCAAGACTCTTCTTCCCTTTGGCTCTCTTTGTCCTTTCATGTTGCTTTTTGCCAGTCTCTTCTCCAAAGGCGATTAAGGTGGGCATGAGGAAGGTGGAACTCACAGGGCATCACACTTTAGAGTCACAAGGAAACCCACAAGGCAGGCTGCCCAAGAGTCCCAGGGTGACAGGAGGCAGGTCCGCCGAAGCTGGGGCCAGAGTTTCCCCAAACCACAGAGAGCATTTGGTTTGCTATTTGGGGGGAACCCTTTATGTGAGAGGAAGGACGTCAACTGTGGACGTCTTGCACAGTTTGTGTGAATGCATTAGTTCCTCACAGTCACATACCAGGTCTCAGCTGTGGGCAACAGCTCGTTCTAACGATATTTCACAGAAAAGGCACCAAGTGCGTGTGGTGTTAAGAAGCTGTGATCTACTATTATAGCATGACTCACTTAAGAGTTCATGTGTGGCTGTCTGTGCCAGGCACTGTCCTCGGTGCTGGGGAACCCTTGGTACACATAGAAGACAGGGCCCCTGCCCTCATGGAACATACTATCCAGTGTGTAGGGGTGCGGTACCATTTGGTAGCTATATGAAGCGATAGATGGGTGGTGTATTTATGTAAACTAAGAGTAAATGGGAAAACCCTGGATTGGAACGTGGGCTTTGTTTGTGGGACTGGAAGTGGCTAGAGGAAACGTGGAGGTTGTAGGGCTGTAATTACAGGTCACCCACAGCTTGTTGTAATATAACGGGATTATGTTCCTCCTGTTAGTGGCATGTCACAAAATTGCCTATAGCAGTGGTCGGCAAACTCATTAGCCAACAGAGCCAAATATCAACAGTACAACGATTGACATTTCTTTGGAGAGCCATATTTTTTAAACTTAAACTTCTTCTAACGCCACTTCTTCAAAATAGACTCGCCCAGACCGTGGTATTTTGTGGAAGAGCCATACTCAGGGGGCCAAAGAGCCGCATGTGGCTTGCGAGCCCCAGTTTGCCGACCACTGGCCTATAGGAGCAATCTTCTAAATGAAGCTAGCAAGTAAGCCACGATATAACTGAAATACAATTCACAATATTACCGGGCTAGAGTCTCTTCCTGGGCTGCAGGAGGTCCTTCCTCTGTAGGAGGGAGGGCGGAGAGCAAGAAATTAGGGCATTTCAAGAGCAAGAGCTCCAGTCCCCCCATTCCGTTCAGACTGTGGTTTGGATCCCAGCTGTTCCTTCACATCTCTTAAACCTCCGCTTCCTCATCGGTAAAATAGGGGGAACATTAAGCCTGCCTCATGGGTGGCTGTAGGGTTAAATGGGATAATGCTTCGGAAAGCCCCAAATATGAGAATTGTCGTTGCTGTTTGTCACCCGCCTGTTTCCAATGGCCCATGGCCCTGCACCCAAAGAGTGCCTTTTCTCCCACCGCCTCGGCCAAGACGCCACTCTCAGGGCGGAATTTCAAGCAGCGCAGCAGGATTCGGAGAGTGAAAGCAATGCAGGCCTTGGGGGGAGGCTATTTTGGGCCCCACCGTCATGGGGTCCGTCAGCACGCACGTAGGCAGGTCAGCCTTGCCTGGGAGTCTGCCCCTGGGTCAGCTCCCCCTGGCGCTTCCCAGGTTCCCCTTCCCCCATCTTCTAAGCTCACATGGTTCCTGTGGTATTTCCCCCATCAGATCCTCACAGTGATGATGAGGAGACCCTCTCCCCTATGGAGAGAAAGGAGCCAGGGCCAGCTAAGAGCTTTCTATGAGAGCCTTCATGGGGCTGTGAGTTGGAGGCCACCTGTATTGAGAGACTGTGTTTCTGTCCTGAGTGATCCCAGCTGGATATTTAATTTGTTTCCTAAACTCAGCAAAAAACTTTAGTGAACTTCAGTAAACGGTCAGCCCTTGGTTTTCCAGCTAAGGACACTTTTGGTGCAACCAGCTTTCCAATGGAATGTGATGGGATATAGAATAAATGTTGCTTCGTATAGCTCTTGGAACTATAGGAATGAGCCACACTGTAATCAAGTGACTCTCTCAGCTACAAAGGGGCTCCTGGTATCAAGAAATTGCACATCAGATGGAGAAAAAAATTTTTAAATACAGGGGCTGGGGGAAGAAATTGCATGTCAGACTTTTAGGAGTCACTGATTCCTTGCTTGAGATCTGAGTCCACCATCTCGCTCTGGCCTCAGGCTCCAGACCTATTTCAAACTGTGGCTGTTTAGAGAAGTCTATTTCAGGCTTCATTTGAATTGGCCCATCTTAG